TATAAGTATGCTGATCAAAATGATAATAAAAAAAAAATCGTTACTTGCTCCAACACTAGAACAAGATTCACATTATTTTTTAAATAAGTTTTATACAATCTTATTAAATAAGTCTTATACGATCCTTTTAAATAAGTCTTATACAATCCTTTTTTTTTTTTTTTTTGTCTTATGATTTTTTTTTTTTTTTGAAACAAGAACATTGTAATACCAACTCCGTCTATATCTTCTTATAAGGAAGATTATGAATCTATGCATGGAGAAGAGTATGAACCAATGTATGAGGAAGAGCATGAACCAATGCATGAGGAAGAGCATGAACCAATGTATGAGAAAGTGTATGAACCAGAGTTACAATTAGATAAATCTGAAGTTAGTGAATCATCACAAGTACAAAAGTCAAATAGCAGTAATTCTACACATACCAGGTAATTAAAATATTATAATTGTTTAATATGTTGTTTAATATATTGTATTAATAATAATAACCAGTAATCTCTTCGCTGATCATCAATTCCAAAATTTGTCAAAGTAAGAAACAAAGGTTTTAACAACAACAAGCATAGAAACATCTTTTGTGACATTAAGAAAAAAAACTCAGCACAAAAAACTACCCTAAGTCTCTTAGTACAAGAACTTGAATACAACTAAACCTAAAGAAAATTTTTACATTCTTCATTATTTTTGACAAAATTTGAGGAATTTGAAAATTTGCTCCAGACCCTGTAAATCCATCAACACAAGATGCGTGACAAGGGATCACCAAAACAATAAACAAACAAATCGATCATATTCTATTTTAGAAAACAACAATAGTTGACAACAATAAACAAATAAATATATATGTCTTATTTTAGAATATACTAGCAATTAGAAACAACAACAGCAATCACATGCGTAATCAATTGCAACATCAACAAACAAATACTACAGACATGTTCTATAACAACTAATAGAAGTGATTTAATCTAGAAAACACAAAAAAGTAAACATAGAACATACAACAACAATCTAGAAACTACTATTAAGAAATTTATTAAAGTTTAGTATCTATACGAAAATGTTGAAAATAAGCATTTTAGATTTTATTTGGAGTAGAAGTGTAATCACAGCCAAGTATATGTTAAGTAAACAACTTGAAGAATCCATTAAAAAGTAACGCTCAGCGATCCTAGCAACATTGAGCATATAGCCAAAATATTAACAATAGAAGACGAAAGTAAAATTTTATCTATAGAAGTATTAGCTTATAGCTGCTTAGTTGGGTTCTTACAAAAGGCTGAACTTAGAGGGTGTCTAGAAGAAGAAATCTAACAATGGGCTGA